TGTGGGAGAGGTAAAATAAAAAATGGCAGAAGTACTAAAAGGCATCAAAATGGATGAGTTCAAAAACTGCTTTGAGTAGTGGAAAAAGTGTCTCAATAGGGGTACTGCATCAAATGGAAAGTACTTTGAAGGTGATTGAAGTTTAAACATGTAAGAATACACAACTTTTAATAAATAAATTCCATTTCTGGGGGCAGCCCCTTATATAAGCTTGGTGATCCTGTTGATAGTTTTAAGTACTGTTTTGTGCATAGTCAGGAGCACTGACTGATAAATTTATGTGTTAAGTTGGCTGGGCTATGGTGTTCAGTGATTCCATCAAATGAATCTAAGTGTTGCTGTGAAGGTATTTTGTAGATATGATTTTTAAATTTTTATTTATTTATTTTTGTGTGTGTGAGTCAGAGTCTCACTCTGTCGCCCAGACTGGAGTGCAGTGGTATGCTCCCGGCCACTGCAGCCTTGACCTGCTGGGCTCTGGCAATCCTTCTGCCTCAGTCTTCTAAGTAGCTGGTGCTACAGCTACCACACATGGCTAGTTTTTGATTTATTGTAGAGATGAGGTCTCGCCAAGTTGCCCAGGTGGGTCTCAAACCCACGGGCTCAGGAGATTCACTTGCCTCACCTCCCAAAGTGGTGGGATTACAGGCTGAGCCACTGAACCCGGTTGGATTTTCAAAATTTTTGCTTGGGGTCTTGCTCTGTTGCCTAGGCTGGAGTGCAGTGGTGTGATTCCAGTTCACCACAGACTTGACCTCTTGGGCTCAGGTGATCCTTCCACCTCAGCCTCCCAAGTAGCTAAGACTACAGATGTGCAACCACATCTGGTTTATTATTTTGATCTTTTGTAGAGATGAGGTCTTGCTGTGTTGCCCAGGCTGATCTCAAACTCCTGGACTCAAGCCATCCTCTCACCTCAGCCTCCCAAAGTGCTGGAATTACAGGCATGAGCCACCACATCTGGCTTATAGATGTGATTGAAAGCCAAAATCAGTTGACTCTAAGTAGGGGAAATTATCCTTGACAATCTGGGTAGACAGATTCAGTCTGATGAAAGGCCTTCAGAACAGTGCTGTGGCTTCTTTGGGAAAAAAATCCTGCCTGGGGATAGGGCTTCAGCCCACACCTAGGGCCCAGCCTGTCCTTACTGATGGACTGCCCTACAGATTTGGGGCTTGCCTAGCCAGCCCATGATTACACAAGTCAATACATTTCTTAATATGGGTCTGCTCTTCTGGTTGACTCCGGACTGATGCAAGAACTACTTGAATTTTTCAACCACCTACATGGATTATTTCAATAAAACTGTACGTTGACGTAAAAACGAATACAGTTTTAATCACTTGGAAAGAGAAGGAAAAAATTAAGAAGATTAATTAGAAAAAGAACCAGAGGAACTGCATCAAAATGTTTTTAAGTCATCTGACTGAGTGTGGTGGCTCATGCCTGTGATGCCAGTGCTTTGGGAGGTAGAGGTGGGAGGAATCGTTTGAAGCCAGGATTTCAAGACAAGCCTGGGCAATATAGTGAGACCTCATCTCTAAAAAAAAAAATAATAATAACATAACAAAACAGTTGGGCATGGTGGTGTGTGCCTGTAGTCTCAGCTAGTTAGGGAGGCTGAAGCAGGAGGATCACTTGAGCCCAGGAGTTTGAGGCTACAGTGAGCTGTGATTGTACCACTGCACTCTAGCCTGCCTCTGAAATAAAAAAACAAAACAAAAACAAACAAGATGGGAGGCTGAGGTGAGTAGATTGCCTGAGCCCGTGGGTTCGAGACCTGCCCGGGCAACTTGGTGAGAACTCATCTCTACAATAAATCAAAATATCAGCCAGGTGTGGTAGTGTGCGCCTGTAGTTCCAGCCACTTGGGAGGCTGAGGCGGAAGAATCGCCAGAGCCCAGCAGGTCGAGGCTGCGGTGGCCGGGAGCGGCCACTGCACTCCAGTCTGGGCGACGGAGTGAGACTCCAACTCAAAAAAACAAAAAACAAAAAACAAAAAGCCAAGCAGTTATCTGAGGGTGGCAGAAGTATGGGTATTACAGTAGCAGTTCCCGTAGCAAGCCTTTGTGCCCTATCTTTCCATCAAGTGACAGTCTGTCATAAGATTCTCTCTCTTTGGTTCTCATAATATCTCCTTAATGAGTTAAAGCCTACAGGTCATGCAGTAAAAGTGAGATAGTACAAAATGATCCTGCTCAGATAACTGTGAAATGTAAGCTGTGATAAACTCTTAGTAATACAGTTGATTGTTTACCATTGTGTCATACACAGTGCTTGGTCATCAACAACAGAACTCACTCTAGCCAACGTGTAACAGGAGAAGGATCCATCAAAGGAGACTGTGGTTCACATCATCTCTAGGAGGATGGATGATCTGGCTTGGATGCCAAAGTGTTAGGAATATCACTTAAATCACTCCCTAGAACTGCCTTGGTGACCACCCACTCACCCTCCACAGGGCTGCAGCTGGCCCAGGGTGAAGGTCTTTGCCACCGGGTGGGTTCCACGTGGTGCCTGCTCCATCATGTTGCTACTTTCTCAACCAGAATTTCAGGAGGGGACATCTGATTGGTGGAGCCCGAGTCATTTGCCTGTATCCCCGCTGCAAGGGATACTGGGAAAGAGAGTTTCTGGCTTCTGCCTTGAGACAAGGTGTGGAATCATTAGCTGAAGTATCTCCAAAAATTCTGTGGGAATTTGTGTCTGGATGGCCTGGCCCTGGATGTCCATCTGCTTTAATAAATGTAAGGACCACATCCATTGGCACCCTGCAAAGAGAGAGTCTGATGACCATCACCTGAGTTAGCAGGATGGCTGTTTAGCTGTGGGGATGCTGCTACCCTTGCTGGAATCCACAGAATGAACCGCTGCACCTCCTTGCCAGATGGCAGTGACCCCAGAGTGTCCTCTTTATTGTGTCAGGGTGGCCTGTGCTTTGCCTGTGGTGACAACTTATTCTTCCCTGAGCTGGGAATGGGGAAAACCGGCACCAAAGATTATTTTGGGTTTTTCTCCTACTTAGTGAGTCAGTGTTCTCTTTGTAAAGGTCCTTTTTTTTTTTTTGAGTCAGGGTCTCATTCTGTCACCCAGGCTGGAGTGCAATGGCACGATCATGGCCACTGCAGCCTTGACCTTCTGAGCTCAGGTGATCCTCCAGCCTCAGCCTCTTAAGTAGCTGGGACTCTGGGGGTTTACCACGTTCAGCTAATTGTTTAATTTTAACTTATAGTCAATAAAATGAAAAAATCACTAGTGTATAGCTCAGTGATTTTTTACATATATAAACATTCAGTTCAAGAAAGAGAACATCTCCTGGACCCCGGAAAGTTCTGTTGTACCCTCTCCCAGCCATTATCCCACAAGAGAACCACTTCTGATGCTGTAAAGGAACTCTGCCAGTTCTTGAACTTTATCAAAATGGACTCCAACAGTATGCATGCTTCTGGGTCTGGCTTCCTTCACTCAATGTTAACGACTCACAGGACTTTAATTTTCTTGTTTGTCCTTTTCCTCATGTTTTACAATAAACACATGTTTGTAATTTTTAAAATTATAGCAATACTTGCCACTTACAACATTTTCAGAAAATAGAGGGTATTTTTTTCAAGCAGAAAAAAGTAGAACTTTAAAAATCAGGGAACTACACCAAAAAGTTTTTAATCACATATACACATAACCATGAGCAGTATAATGGTGTTTCAGTCAATGATGGATCACATATGAACGGTGGTCCCATAAGACTATGATACTGTATTTCTACTGTACCTTTTCTATGTTTAGATATATTTGTTTTTATTTTTTATTAAAACACATTTAAAAAAATAGAAATGGGGTCTTGCTATGTTGCCCAGGCTGGTCTTGAACCCCTGGGCTCAGGAGATCCTTCTGCCTCAGCCTCCCAAACTGCTGGGATTACAAACGTGAGCCACCTTACTCAGCCAGATATGTCTATTTTTATTTTTGAGTGGGAGTCTCATTCTGACATCTAGGCTGGGGTGCAGTGACATGATCGTGGCTCACCTCAGCCTCGACCTCCTGGGCTCAGGTGATCCTGAGTAGCTGGGACCACTGGTGAGCACCAGCATACATGCCCAGCTCCTTTTTTTATTTTCTACAGAGACAAGATCTCACTGTGTTGCCCAGGCTTGTCTCAAAATCCTGGCCTCAAGCAATCCTCCTGCCTCGACCTCTCAAAGTACTGAGTCACCAATCCAGCCTGTGTAGATATGTTTAGAGATAATACTGTTGCCTGTAGTAGTTACTACAGTAACATGCTACCCAGGTTTGTAGCCTAGGAGCAATAGGTTACATGGTACAGCCTAGGTGTGTAGATTATACCATTTTGGTTGGTGTAAGGACGCTCTGATGTTCATGCAACACTAAAATCACCTAAAGACACATTCCTCAGCATGTAACCCCGTTGATCATTGACGCATGACTATATATTATTAGTGGGGCCATGACTAAGATGTTTGCTGCCCCAAAGCTGGCCTCCTCTTGGGCTCCTCAATGAGTTGAGGTCTGACTTTGTCTCGCAGGCTGGAGTGCAATGGCACACTCATAGCCACTGCAGCCTCGACCTGACTTTTTGATTTACGGAAGAGCTGATTTATAGTAGAGATGAGGTGCAGTCTGTCTGCCCATTTTGGCTGATGTCTGCCAGCGCCTGGGCCCAGTTGTGGGGGCTGACAAGAGACCCCAGCTCAGGCAAAGGCACAGCCGAGTATCTCAGGGGTCTTCGAGCGCTGCTGCTGAGGACAGAGACAGGGGCAGCCCCTCTGGCTGCAGGAATTCCAATCTGAGCCCTCATACCCGGAGCCTGGGCGGGGCTCAGCATGGGCTGGAGCCTGCAGGAGGAGGAGGTGGAGGAGGGAGGCTGCTTGTTTCGTCAGCCTCTTGCCTAGCCTTGAGTTGGAGGTTATAAGCCTGGTCCAGGCCAGTCACCCCGGCAGGTCCCGCTGAGGTGGAGCAAGTACCTCGGCTGTCACGGGGTCAGCATGCTGGCCAGGGGGCTTCTCTGGCGCTCAGTCCTGGTCAGAGGCAGCCAGCCCTTCCCGAGCATCTCTGGGGAGAGCCTGGAACGTCCCAGGTCACTCACGACGGAGAGTGCCGGGGTCTCCACTCGCAGTCCTCGTCCCTTCAGCGAGATTCCCTCTCCTGGTGACAATGGCTGGGTAAACCTGTACCGCTTCTGGCGGGAGAAAGGCACACACAGAATTCACTATCGCCACGTCCAGAACTTCCAGAAGTATGGCCCCATTTACAGGTAAGCCTGGCGGAGGGTGGGGACCTGCAGGACAGGGAAGCGGAGGGGCCCGGGCAGCCCCACCGTGCTCCCCTCTCCACAGGGTTCTGTTCTCCAGTCCCAGACTCCTGCCCATCTCTGATCTTATTCCTTCCAGACCTGGGGATGGTGGTGGGAGCAGGGAAAGTCTTCCCCAGCCCCAGGCCTGAGCCCTTAACCTTCCCCACATCCCACAGCTTTGAAACTTTATGCCATGGGGGGTGGTTTGGAGAAGAAGCCCTACTCAATACCACCTTCCCTGTATCTACTATCCTCAGGTCACTTTGTAAGGTAAATTTCTTATCCCCATGGTGAAAGGAGGAGACTGAGGCTCAGAGTGGTCGCCTAGTTAGATTCCTGTCCTGCTGGGGCGCTGGCCTCAGCCCTGTACTTTTTTTTTGAGTTGGAGTCTCACTCGGTCGCCCAGACTGGAGTGCAGTGGCTGCTTCCAGCCACTGCAGCCTCGACCTGCTGGGCTCCAGCGATCCTTCCGCCTCAGCCTTCCGAGAAGCCGGAATTACAAGCATGCGCTACCACGCCCGGCTGATTTTTTTTGATTTATTGTAGAGATGAGGTCTCACTGCCCAGGTGGGTCTCGAACCCGCGGGCTCAGGCAATCCACTCACCTCAGCCTCCCAAAGGCGCGGGATTACAGGCTGAGCTGGCTGCCCTGTACTTCTGAAGCAGCTCATTTAGCGCCTTCCCTTTCCCAAACATCAGCCTTGCTTCCCTGCTGGGCGGAAAGGGACTTTGGTCTTTGGCATCTGAGCCCCCAGGCACCTTCCTCCCTGGCTCAGCTGTGGCTAGGTGGGCAGCTGGTCAGCCACACCTAAGTCCTTTTCTTTGAGTGAGGGATAGGAGGTCATGTAGGCGGTGGTTGGGGGCTGGGAGGGGATACCAAGAGGGACCGTACATTTGACATTCAGTGAAAGGGTCTTTCCCACGCAAAGAATTCTAACAGGTCGTGAAGGGGGAGGGGTGCAGATGTGACATGTTGGCTGGCTGGATGGCTAGGTGTGGGGTGGAGGGGGAGGCAGGCTTGTTTGTGTTGGGGTCACTCGGCTCCCTACCCCTCTTCATCTCCCACTTCTGAAGTCCCAGCTGCCTTTTTTCTCCCCCTACAGTTGGTTGAAGGCCAGAAGCTACACCTCCAGCCCCACCCGGGTCGAGTGCTAGGCTTGGGAGGTTGCCCCCCTATCCCCTCTCCCTTCCTCCCCTCTCTCCTAGGCCTGCTGGTGCTCTGGTTACCCCTGCCTCTCTCCCTTCCCCCCATCTCCTCCATCCTTCCTCCCTCCACCAGTAGGAACATTCTTATCATATTAAGCCCCTTCCTGTTTTCCAAGTCGCTTTTATCTCAGTCTTACAACATGTCCTTTAAGTCAATGTCATCATACCCATTTTTCACATGGAGAAAGCGAGGCTCAGTGAGAAGAGGGTCTTGCTAACATCACACAGCTCATCAGGGCAAAGTCAGGGCTGGGCCTGAGCTGGTGGGTTTTGTGTGCCATTATACTATATTTTGTAGCCTGGAAATGAGAATGAAATGAGAATGAAAAGTGAGATTTTCTTTTTTTGGTAGTATTTGTATTTTTAATTTTTTTGCTTAAACAACAAAAATTTCTTTTCTTCTTCTTTTTTTTTTTTTTGTGTTAAGGTCTCACCCTGGCTGGAGTGCAGTGGCACAAACACGTCTCACCGCAGCCTCCACCTCCTGGGCTCAGGTGATCCTTATGGCTCAGCCTCCAGAGTAGCTGGAACTACAGGCACATGCCACCACATCCAGCTAATATTTTTTGTAGAGACGGGGCCTCTCCATGTTGCCTAGGCTAGTCTTGAACTTCTGGGCTTTAGTGATTCTCCTACCCCAGCCTACCAAAGTGCTGGGATTACAGGTGTGAGCCACTGTTCTTGGTCAAATGTGAGGAATTGAAAACACAAATTTTGTGGATTTTTTCCCCTAACACAAAGGCTGTTCCTGTTTCATATATAGAGCAACTTAGGACATACAAAGACGCACAAATGAAAAACAGAAGTCAGATACAATCTCCACTAGGATAATATTTAAGTCTGTGAGGAGTGTGAATGAATATATTATGGATGCTGCTTGGTCTTGTCCCAAGACTTGGAGGGCTTCTTTTCTACTTTCTCTCTCTAATATAATTTCAAAAGGCAGCAGAGTAGTCCACAGTCTGGATTTTTTTTTAGCCAGTTATTTAAAGTGAACGCACAACCCACCCTGGGCTTTTGCTGTGAGACGTAGTGCCACCATGTATGCGCCTAGCCATCGTGCAGCATTGAGATGTCAGATCACTGCCTTGAGCTAGCGTCCCAGAAGTGGAATTGGTAATAATACCCGTGGCTCAAGGACTTGGCTGAGCTGGGGTGGGGTTAGGGGGCTGGTAAGCGTGAGGACACGTGGTAGCTAGAAAGACATTTCCGGGACTCTGGAAGGCCTTGGAATTGGGAAGGTCCATACTTGGGAAGAGAGAAAGAGGGAGAGACAGAGGGAGGGAGAGGGCGGGAGAAAGAAATAGAAGGAGAGAGGTAGAGAGAACACACTTGGTTTATATCTGTATGTTTTTATGATATTTTGCCTTAAAATATATCTTGAATGGACTATTTTAGGCAAAAGATGGGGGAAAAGAAAACTGAGATTTTCTTTTTTTTGTGCTATTTGTATTTTTAATTTTTTTTGCTTAACAGAAATTTCTTTTCTTCTTTTTTTTTTTTTTATTGAGTCAAGGTCTCACTGTGTCCCAGACTTCAGTGCATGATCATGACTCATCTCAGCCTCGACCTCCTGGGCTCAAACGATCCTCCCACCTCAGCTTCCTGGGTAGCTGGGAGTACAAGAGCACACCACTGCGTCCGGTTTATTTTTTTTATTTCTGTAGAGATGGGGTCTTGCTATGTTGTCCAGGCTGGTCTCAAACTCTTGGACTCAAGGAATCCTCCAGTCTCAGCCTCCCAAAGTGCTGAGATTACAGGTAGACACGTATTTTCACACAGTTCTGGAAACCAGAAGTTCAAGATCAAAGTGTGGGCTGGGTTGGCTCCTCCTGAGGCCTCCTTCCTTGGCTTGCAGATGCCACCTTCTCCCATGTCTTCCCATGGGCTCTTCTCTGTGTGTATCTCTGTTCTCATCTCTTGGTATAAGGGCACTGGTCACATGAGACAGTTGTCTAACTCTTGGCATCAGGGTGGCTACTCCCAGAATTTCAATCTTTGGCCTGGGATATGGCCTGTCTGGAAAGCTACAGTGAGTCACTCCAGAGGTAACATAAATATGAGGCATGGTCTTGAGCTCTGCAGGTGGGTGAAGGTTGGGCTGCTGTGGGTATGGACACAGGCAGTGTGGTCAGTTATAGAATGCTTAACAAAGGTTGCACCTGCATACTCAGCAGCATCATGATCCTTGGCAATCCTGGGACACAGGTGCTATACAGGTCTCCGTTTTACAGAAGAGGAAACAGATTCAGAGAGGTTGAGGGCCTGGCCTCAGGCCACACAGCCAGCGAACTGTGGCCCCAGAGGCGGCCATGCTGAGCCTGCGTCTCCGGCTGTCCTGGGACCCTTCCGTCAGCCCTCCCCCTCACCCCTACAGGGAGAAGCTGGGCAACGTGGATTCGGTCTACATCATAGACCCCGAAGACGTGGCCATTCTCTTTAATTCCGAGGGTCCCAACCCGGAGCGATACCTCGTGCCCCCCTGGGTCGCCTATCACCAGTACTATCAGAGACCCATAGGAGTCTTGCTGAAGTGAGTCCTGGGGATGGGGGGTGGGGTTGGGGAACTGTGGAGGGGCGGGGGCCGGGGAAGGGCTGGGGCCCGGCTTGACCCCTTAGGTGAATCCTCAAGGCAATCCCTGCCATCTTCCTGCCTCCCTAAAGCAAGTGACAATGGTGACGATGAACTGCCAACCTCCAGGGGGATGGTTAGGCTAGAGAACTTCATGATTAGCTAAAGCCCTTGCAGAGTTCTTGACTGGTTCCCAAGTCCCCTCGTGAGTACCTGCGATGTGCTAGGCCTTGTGCCAGGTGCTGGGGAAGCAGTGACAAAGAGGGTAGAACCCTGCCACCAAGAGTCCCACATAGTTTGACGGGATGGTGAGAAACAGGGACCAACCAATGTCTTTTAGTGTGATAGGTATGGCCTTCTGCCAAATTGTCCATCAAGAATGTCAAATGTGACCCTACCAAGAGTCAGTGAGGCCACGAGCAGCTGAAGTTCCTATCTATCACCAATGAGTGGACGCTGGTGCCATCATGCTGGAAGATGGTTGGACATCATCTCCTGAGATGGAATATTCACATTCCTGGGGCATAGCAGTTCCGATTTCAGAGATGTGCCCCAAAGAGTACCTCCTCGGGGCGCATGCACTTGAATGTTTGCAGTAGTGCTGTTTGTAACAGCAAAAGTCGGGAAGCCACCTGAATGCCCAACGGGAGTGTGGGAGGGGATGATGGCACACACCAGTCAGAGAGAAGGGACCAGGTGTCCTGCAGCATTGCAGACAATGCTTGGAAAGATGAAATGAGTGAAAAAAGCAGCTCCCCCGAAGCCTGACACAATCATAGCTCACTGCAGTCTCCAACTCCTAGACTCAAATGATCTCCTGCCTCAGCCTCCTGAGTAGCTGAGACTACAGACATGTGCCACCATGCCCAGTTGATTTTTTCAACTTAAAAAAAAAATAAACTAGCTGGGTGCAGTGGCTCTCGCTTGTAATCCTAGCACTTTGGGAAGCGAAGGTGAGATGATTGCCTGATTCCAGGGGTTTGAGACCAGCCTGGGCAACTTGGCAAGACCTCGCCTCTACCATAAATAAAAAAATTAAGCTGGGCTCGGTGGCTCAGCCTGTAATCCCAGCACTTTGGGGAGGCTGAG